TATTCTACACTTTGTCATGTTAGTCATCATTCCCCATTGCTTATCTGACCCAGGCAGTTTGTGTCTGGCTTCATTTGCTGCCAGTCTGCTTTTAGGTGTCATCAGCATGTATTGCTCTTTACGAACAATGCACCGTGTAGGATGCAATGTGTTCCTCATGTGCTCTCATTCTTTTAACATAAGGACTGGACTAATTTTCCCCTTAATGTATACAAATGGATCTGTGACATTAGTGGCGTGGCCAATGTCTCCAATGATGCACATTAAAACCCATACTTGCCCATTCTCTGTGACTTCCACACCCTTTCTGAAGTTCACCACTGAGGGTCCACCCAGGATGCTGATACTCTTCCTTGCTTTCTCATAATATCGCTGTGATTGCAAATGGGGCAGATGGGCTATCAGTTATCCCACTATCTTGACCAGCCCATCTTCTTTTTCACTTTTGTATTTCTTTAATGATATCTTTTACTCTGGTCAACTGGAATTTCTTATTTGTAACAAGTTACAACTCATAATGTGTTAAAATTCACAATTTTTAAATTACATCACAATTTATGTATTATATGTCACATGTACCCAGGAGTATGCAGAAGCCAGCTCAAAATAGGAACCAATGGTTAAATTTTCAGGGTGAGCATTTGTACCTGAGAAATCACATGTGTACAAATTGGGGCTCAATTTATTGTTTTGTTGACTTTCTAGACTTACTAATGGAGAAAATGTCAATAATGCAGATTAAACTCAAAAGTGTGTCTTGCATTTTCAGAGAATTTGTTGTTAAACAATTACCAGGAAATTCCCTGCACGAGCTTCTCTATTGCCTTCTGTGTGATACTCATTTTCAATTCTTCAGAGACTATATTGTTCTAGGACCCAATCATATAACAACACTGGTAGAACACAAGTGTTGAAAAGACAGCCCTTTGTTTGAGAAAGAAATTTGAGTCACTAAACTTCCTGAAAGCAATTTAGCCTTGTTCAGTCATATCCAACTCTTCATGACCCCATTTGGAGTTTTCTTGGCACAGATAATAAAGTGGTTTGTCATTTCCTTCTCCAGCTCATTTTACAGATGAGGAAACTGAAGTAAACAGGGTTAAGTGACATGCTCAGGGTCACACAGCTAAGCTAGTAAGTATCTGAGGCCAGATTTGAACCCAGGAAGAAGAGTCTTCCTGACTACAGATCCCAGCACTCTATATAGTGTGCCACCTAGCTGACCCTGTTTTATTCTCAATGAGGGGAGAGGAGAAGGAGTAAGGAAAGGAAAGAACTCGTAAATTTAAAAAAAAAATAAATGTTAAAAATTGTTTTTACATGTAATTGGGGAAAAAATAAAAAATAAAAAATAAAAATAAAATCGGAAGGAAAAAAGAATGGCCACCATATTACTAATAAATTACATTTTTATAATGTTATTTAGTGCTTGCTACGTCCAGTGCCTTTGAATTATTCTATCAAATGAAGAAAACAAGCATTTATGGAGCATTTACTATGTTCCAGGTCCTATGATAAGTCTTTTATAAATATTATCTCATTTGATCCTCAAAACAACCTAGCAAGACAGGTGCTATTATTATCTCCATTTTGCAGTGAAGAAACAGAAGTTAAGTGACTTGCCCCGCTAGTAAGGGTATGAGATTGGATTGAGCTCATGTCTCTCCTGATTGCAGACTCAGCATTTTGTCCTCAAAAAGAATAGTGATGATGACAATGATGGCATATAGGTTAGAGGTTTTTGTGTAGTCTTTGAGCCTTTGGACTATCTTGTCCTTTATTATTACTGATCCAAATTGTCCATCATATTTTTCACCAGTCACAGTTATTCTTACCTATATATTAAATCCAATGAGTATCAATGTTTATGTTGATTTAACTGGGCAGAAGAAAGGATCTTACTGAGTATTCTACCTCTTCATCCTCTGCAACTAATGTCGATGTATAAGCTGAAATTCTTACCATAGCTTCCCCCCAAATATTTACCATGAGCACTGTAATATAAGATGATTAAGTATCATATTAAATGACTTTTCTTGTTACCTTTTAACATATGATAGAATCAATTCTTTCAACTCCTTTTTTCTTCTGCAAGGAAAATTTTTGAGCCATATACCCATTTAGCTCTAATTTCACCTATTTTCTAGTTTCTTTTATAGCAAGAATGCTAATACTAATACCACTTCTTTCCTTTAGTAGCATGTCCATTCATTGGTCATTGTACAAGAATCTCACACTTAGAGCATCTACAGCTGAGTTAAAGTTTGTAGATTATCTAAAAACTGTATGATCCTTATTATCCATTGCCCCCTATTCTACCACTTGCAGAAGTGGTAGGGGGCCTTATAGGACTGAAGGCCACTTTGCATTTTTTTCTTGGTTTCATGTGTTGTAAAGATCAAAAGATTCATCAACAGCCAGGATATTGGTGGTAGATGTCTCAATATTTAGGGAGGCTGGTCCTCAGAAGGAAGGCTCAGGAGGTTGGGAGGATCATGCTTCTGATGGTGTTATCTGAAAAGGGGGAAGTAGTTGATTCTCCATCTTTGAGCATGCAAAAAAGCTTGAGATTTGATTTTAGAAAAAAAATAATTTGTTCAGTCATCTCAAAAGGTAACAATCTTTATTCCTTCTGAATCTGGAGGTAGGATAGGGATAGGTCATTCTTTTATTTATTTATTTATTCTTACAAAATTGCATTTCCAGAGCATCCTGAGAAATTCTCTGGAGTCAAGGGCAATAGAACCTGGGTGCACAAAAACAAAAGATTTGAAAAGAACAGAAGGACTTTAACCCAAAGGTGGGTTTGGTGTTGTAGCAATGTAGAATGAGACCCCAGAGTAATCTTTTTCAGATGGCCTGGCTGCTTCAGAGTTAATCCCCTAGAGGGGACAAGCTCCATCTGCTGAAGATAGATAGGTACATACATACATACATACATACATACATACATACATACATACATACATAGACAGACAGAAAATAGAGAGGATAGATAGATGACATAGACAGATGATGGATAGGTACATAGATGATAGAGACAGATACATAGAGATATAAAGAAAGATGATAGAGATAGATGATAGAAAAAGATAGGTGATAGAAATAGATGATAAATATGGATACATATGATCACGATAGATGATAGAGAGAAATGATAGAAATAGACAAAGATAGATACATAGAGAGATAAAGAGAGATGATACAGACAGATGATACAGAAACATAGATGATAGAGGAATAGAGATAGATGATAAATATAGAGAGATGATAGATGATAGAGAGAAATGATAGAAATAGACAATAAAGATAGATACATAGAGATATGGGAAAGGAGAAGAGAAGAGACAGAAAGGGAGGGAACAGAGCGGGGGAGGAAAGATGCATAGAGAGATGGAAAAGGAGAAGAAGAAAGAAAGGGAGGGAAGAGAGAGACACACGAAGACAGAGACAGAGAGAGAAAGAGACAGAGAGAGACAGAGAGAGAGATCATTTATTAAGTGCCCACTATGTGCCTGGAGGCTGCCAAAACCATGAAAGCCAGTAACATTACTGAGTTTCTACAGAGCAATAAGCTAAGCTAATAAGCTGTACTTTAAAAATATTTTTAAACTTTTTGTTTAAAATTTTTTTTAACTTTTTAAAAAACTTTTGATAATCAAAGTTGAACCAATTGTACCAACCCTATAAAAGGAGATGATAAAAGAAAGATGAAAGAATTATCTTCATTTGAACAATTCCACACCCAGGCTGGTGAAGAAATTGTGGCTATGGCTTAATTATTGTTGCGGTCAAAGACCATTAACTTAGAATTCAAGGAAGTTAAGCAACTTAACCTATATTTAAGTTCTGGCTTTGCCACTAATTTCCTATTTGACTTGGAGCCAATTCTTTTACCTCTCAGAGTCTTCTTTTCCTCATGTATTAAGAAAAAGAAATTAGACTACATGGTCTCTCTTAGGTCCCTTGCAGTTTTAGGATTCTGTGATTTATAAACATGTATTAAGAGAAATTTTAAAATAGCTGTTATAGACTTTCCTATATGAATTCCATAGACTCCTAGATTGTCAACACTAGAAGGGACCTTGGAATTCATCAATTACAATCTCCTAATTTTACAAATGTGGCAGGGCAGAGATAAGGGGAACCTCTGATTAGCTTGACTGGAGCATTTCCCTTGGAGGTAGACACTTATTTTGATTCCTTACTGAGGGCCATGCACATTGCTTTAATGACACAGAGAACTTCTGATTGGTTCTCAATGATTACAATTACATAGATGATTAATGACAGAGAGTCAAGAGGATGAACTCTTATTGGAAGAAACTGCTTGTTCTTTGTTCTATAAGAGGAACAAGGAAAAACAACTCCTTCCTCTTTGAGGTACTAATTCTCTCTCTTGGACTTTCAACAAGGAGGAGAGGTGATTTTGCCCTCATTTTCCAGCAACAATAGTGTCATGTAGCAGCTCATAGTAGCACGCATGATATATTTTTGTCTAGGCAAGCCTTAGAATGGACCTTTAGTGTCTGGTTAACATCTTTGTCTTTCTGTTACCTTTTATGAGAACAGTTCAATGACTAGTGATCCTGAGAAATGGATACTTCCCACGTTGGAAGATATCTAGTTCCTGAATCAAGTGCCAGCTGTCCAACAGGAGATCTCAGAGGTGGAGTACCTCCAATAACCTCTAGTCCTTTTAGAGGGAGAATGGTGGCACAATGTATAGACCACTAGGCCTGGAGTTAGAAAGACTTCAGTTCAAATCTAGCCGTGGCACTTCCTAGTTCTATGATCCCTAGCAACTCATGTAACCTCTGTTTGCCTCAGGTTCCTCGACTGTAAAATGGAGGTAATAATAGCACCTACTTCCCAGGGTTGTTGTGAGGATCAAATGAGATAATATTGGTAAAGTGCTTAACATGGTACTAATAAATGCTTATTTCTTTCCCTCCTTCCTTCCTTTCTTCCTTCCTTCTTTCCTTCCTTTCTTTCTGTAGGAATATCCACTTGAAAGCCATGCCTTTACTGACCAGGACATCTGGACCCAGTGAATTTTTTATACAGTGCAGATTTGAAATGAATGTGAAACATCTGTTTAGCAGTCCCACAAATGGATTTTACGTGGCTAGTATATTGAATGTGATAGGCTACCAAATGTTTTCTGCATTCTGTATTTGTTCATACACGTCTTTGCATCCTTAGCATTTTATTCAGTTTTCTGTGGTATGGAATAAAAGCTGTCTCATATCCATAATTATATTATATATTGAGTGTCTGTGTAGGGCTTGGGGATGCTGCCATTCACATTTAGGGACACCACAGACACAAGCCATACTTCACTTGTATCTTGGACACTTCCCTGGATTAATCTAAGATAGGGGCAACAAACCCTAGAAAGAAAGAAATCTGACTCTCTTTAGCCAAGGTTTATATGAGCCCAGAGTCCATTGCTGGGGCACCCTGGGCTCACAGATGAGGAAAATAAAATCTGAAGACAGGAAATGGCTTCTCCATGGTTGCCCGGCAAGATAGTGGCAAAGCCAGAAATCAAGCTCTCCTAAGTCTGTTTCACATTCCTTTACAATACTTTGCTAGACTATGAATGCTAGCTATGAATGGTTAAACATATTTCCCCGTTCCAGGAAGGTTACTGAATGTTACAAAAGAAAAAAAAAGTGTTTTTTTTTTCCTAGAACCTTCCAAATAGCCATTTGGATTAAGATTTTAGAAATTTATAGAATATTAAAGGGGCCAGGATTCCTATGATAGAGCATAAGTGTGGGATGAGGCCAATGTTCTTGCCACTATTCCATAATTAATATATATGTGCTAAACACCGTTAAGTCAGAACTAAAAAATAATTCTGTTTATTACAGTACGTGAATGCTCTTCACTGCCATCTAGTGTCTACATCTTGTAATAAATTTATTTTTATCTAGGCAATATGGGGGATCACAGAATCGTAGACTATTGGAGCCGGAAAAATTACCTAGCCAAAACCTATCTGACAGAAAAGGAAAATGAGATCAAAAAAGGTGAAGAACTTGCCCAATTTCACACAAATTGCTAAGAAAGACCTAAGACTAGAATTCAGTTCCTGCCTCCTAATCCACGCCTCAGTTCATCACAGGAAAAATTATCACAGGCCTGGAAGCTAGATGAGCCCCCATACAATCACAGAATCTCAGAACTAATAGCAATATCAGAGGCCATCTAGCCCAACCCATACCTAAACGGAAAATTCCTCTACACATGTCTGAGAAGTAACATCTAGCCTTTGCTTGAAGAACTCCCCAATGAGGGGAGCAAACTGCTTCCCTAGGTGGCAGCCCATTTTACTTTCAGATAGCTCTAATTTTTAAATTTTTCTTAAATCAAGCAAAAATCTATCTCTCTGCTATCTCTACCCATTGTTCCCAGTTCTGGTACAAAGACAATTTAAATCATTCTTCCATATGATAGCCCTTCAAATGAATGAATGAATAAATAAATGAAAAAGCATTTATCACGTGTTTATTATGTACCAAGAATCATACCAAGTGCAAACAAGAAGAAGAAGAAGAAGAAGAAGAAAAAGAGAGAAGGAGGAGGAAGGAGGAGGTGGAGGAAGAGGAGAAGGAGGAGAAGGAAAAGAAGAAGAAAGAGAAGAAGGAGAAGAAGAGGAAGAAGAGGAAGAAGAAGAAGAAGAGAAGGAGGAGGAAGGAGGAGGTGGAGGAAGAGGAGAAGGAGGAGAAGGAAAAGAAGAAGAAAGAGAAGAAGGAGAAGAAGAGGAAGAAGAGGAAGAAGAGGAAGAAGAAGAAGAGAAGGAGGAGGAAGGAGGAGGTGGAGGAAGAGGAGAAGGAGGAGAAGGAAAAGAAGAAGAAAGAGAAGAAGGAGAAGAAGAAGAAGAGGAAGAAGAGGAAGAAGAAGAAGAAGAAGAAGAAGAAGAAGAAGAAGAGAAGGAGGAGGAAGGAGGAGGTGGAGGAAGAGGAGAAGGAGGAGAAGGAAAAGAAGAAGAAAGAGAAGAAGAAGGAGAAGAAGAAGAAGAGGAAGAAGAGGAAGAAGAGGAAGAGAAGAAGAAGAGGAAGAGGAGGAGAAAAAGAAGACAATATCTGCTCTGAAGGAACCCACACTGTAATTGGGGGAGATAACTCATATGAAAGGGTTCAGCTGCAGGGTGCATGGCAAAATTGGGAGACCTTAGGGTGCACATGAGTTTGTATACTGGCTCTGTTATTACTATATGTTTCACCCTAGACAAGCCACTTCCCCTCTCTGGGGCTCAATTTCTTCTCTGTAAAATGAAAAGGTTGGACTAGATGACCTCTGGGGCTCTTTGCAGTTCTAAACCTATAATCCTATGACTTGCATCATTCCTCTACTCTGTGTCCACTTCCTTTGTGCTGTCATCTATTGACTTGTGTTATTCCTTGACCTGATAGCAATCTGTCCTTTCCCCAATTCCCCATGTACTCCTCTCAGATTACACTCTGTCCTTTGGGGATACCTCCTTTTCTTTTCTTCTGTGTAAAGTTGTATTGACACTTTAAAGATATGGAAGATTGTGGGTGTAGAACACTGCTTGTACCGTAGATATGTTGGTTAGTGTTGTTAAATTGCTTTTTTCCCTTTATCTGATTATTTGTTGCAAGGATTAGGAGTTCCTTTCCCATGTTTCAATTTCAAAATTTGAAAAGATATTAATCTATTTGGAAATAAAAGTGATGGGCAAACAAAAGATACTAAATTTTTAAAAGTCGTATTGATGCTTTATTTTTTACACAGCAGCCATATTTTAATGTTACCCTCCCCTCCCATGTAACAAAGAAAAAATGTTGAATAAAACCAACACCATAAACAACTGGGTCTGACAACTCACACAACCTCTACTCTCAAGACAGGGAGAAGGGAGTACCTTTCATCATCTGCCCTTCACAACCTCAGCTCAATTATCTTCCAATGTTGTTTTCATTTACATTATTGTGATCATTGTGGGTATTTTTGCCTTATTTGGAATGCATCAGTTCATACCAGTCTATTTTGTGGCACAACTTTTCCTCTGAATTTCTCATAATCAAGGTTTTGCCTCCCCATATTATTGCTGTTATTTATTGTTTGCCCTTCGTTTTGAAGAGGACCAATGACATTACAGGGTCCTGTCTTGACTTGTGGGTGAATTGGATTTAAGTGAGACAGAGTTAGCCTCACTCTCTCTTCCAGAGTCACCAACATCCAGTTGCAAGACAAAAGTCACAGGTGAGAGTTGAGTGCCAGACGGACACCAAAGGTGGATGAGCAGCCCTAAAAAGGGCCCTCATCCAACCTGCCTCCCCATGGAGAGTATTGAGAAACCAACCAACAAGCATTTATTAAATGCCTGCTGTGTTCCCGGCACTGGGTTAGGCACTGTGGGTACAAAAACAAATGTGAAACGATTACAGCATGCATTACAAAGAGCTCACATTTTAACAGGGATGACATATATAGATGTGTAAGTGATATGGGGGGAGAGAGCACTAGAAGAGAATAGAGGGAGATCAGAAAAGGCTACACACAGAAGGTGGTGTTGGAACTGAATATTAAAGGACACCAGAGATTCTAAGAAGAGTAGGGGAGAAGGGATGGCATTCCAGGGATGGGGCACAGCAAGTGTAAAGGCAAAGAAGTGGGAAATAGACTTCTCTATAAAAGAAAGAATAAAAAGGCCAGTTTGATAGGGCCGTAGAATTTGTGAAGAAGCATAACGTAATAAATCCAGAAATGTAAGTTGGGCATGCTTGTGAAAGGTTATCAGTGCTAAACAGAGGAGTGTGTGTGTGTGTGTGTGTGTGTGTGTGTGTGTAACACATATGTATGTGTGTGTGTGTGTATTTAGTGCTATTCTTAATTTAGCCAACATCAACAAATGTGAGCATTTCCATATACAAAGAACAGAAAGAGGATTGCATAGAAAGCCCTGTGTCTCCATTACTTGTGATGGGATTTCTTTTCAAAATTATACACATTAGTTTCAAGACTACTCTGCCTATCTGTATCCCTTTCTTAATCTCTCTATTCTCTTTTGTTCATTTTTCTAAAAATGTTACAGTGACTCTCTGTTGGGGTGGGGGGGAGGTATATTGACTCTTTTCTAAAACTCTCCCCCAAGTTTAAAAAATACAAAACAAAACAACATTGTTGTTGTTTGGTCATGTCCAACTCTTTTTTTTCCCTTTTTTTTTAATTTATTTTGATTTATGAACAGTCACTTCCATAAGCTTTTGCGTTTTAAATTTTTCTCCATCTCCCTCCCCAAGATGGCGCACAATCTGATATAGGCTATACATATACATTCCTATTAAACATATTTTCACATTAGTGATATTGTGAGTAAGAATTAGAACCAATAGGAAGAACCAGTGTCCAACTCATCATGACCTCATTTGGGGTTTTCTTGGAAAAGATAATAGAATGGTTTGCCATTTCCTTCTCCATTTTACATATGAGGAACTGAGGAAAACAGGTTTAAGTGACTTGCCCGGGGTCACACAGCTAGTAAGTGTCTGAGACCAGATTTGAACTCAAGTCTTCCTGAATCCAAGTTTGGCACTCTATCCACTGCACCTCCTAGTGCCCCAAACGACAATGCCCTTGTAACACATGGGTCAAGCAAACAAATTCACACATGTCCAGAAATATACTTCTCAGTCTACCATCACTTCTTTGTCAGGAGGTAGGTGGAATACTTCATCATTCTTTGGAATCATGGTTAATCATTGCACTAATCTCCTGGTTCTTCTTACTTTATTATTTAATACAATTCCTCTAAGGTTTTTCTGAATCCATACCCTTTGTCATTTCTTATAGCACAATAATATTCCAATCTATTTCATACTATTCAACCATTAGCCAATTGATGGTGACCCACTTTGCTTCTTGTTCTTTACAACAAAAAAGTATTTCCATAAATATATTATGCAAATGGATTATTTCCCTCTTTGTATGATCTCTTGGGTGTGCATGTGGGTGGGTGGGTGTGGGTGTGGGTGTGTATGTGTTTCCCCACTAAGAATTGATTTGGCTGAATTCCAAAATTTTTGGTATGTTGTCTTATTGTTGTAATTTTCTCTAATGTAATTTTCTTTCATCTTTGAATGTATGATTTGTTCCTTGACTCACAATTCTTTCGGATCAAATTATTTAGTCTCCAAATTTTAATGTTTTTCTTCTTTCTAGTGATTATAATTTCATTGCACTGCAGTCAGTAAATAATATATTTAATATTTGTGATTTTCTGAATTTGTTTATGTGGCTTTTCTATTCTGGCACAAGATCAGTCTCTATAAAAGTACCATATATGAGGCATATGTAAACTCCTTCCAATTTCGTTTCAGAAGTAGCCAGAGATCTCTCACATCTAACTTTCCTAAAAATTCTATTAAATTCCTTATCACCTTTTTTGTTAGTTTTGATTAAATCTGCAAGTCCCTAACTACTATAATTTTGCTCTCTGTTTCTCCCTATAATTCAATGAACTATTCCTTTTAGAACTATTCTTTTTAAGTATTTAGAGGCTTTACCTTCAGGTACACATAAATTATGCTATTGTCTAAGGTACATTTAAGAATATTTCCCAGTTTCTGTCTTTTAATTTTGTCTTTTTATTGCTGCCTTCTGTGAAATCTTTCTTTCTACCCCTCCTTTTTTAATTCACCTGAGGCATAATAAATTCTGCTTCAGTCCCTTATGAACTCTTGTTGAACTCTTTTTTTTTCTGGTTAATTGCAATATTTTTCCCCCTTAAACTGGCAGGTCTGAATTTTGGCTCTACCATTCCTAGGAGTTTTATTTTGTGGGGTTGAATTCTTTGGCAGATTCTTTCTATTTTCACTTTGGCCTCTGGTTGTAATAGATCTCTGTACTTCTCATTTATGATTTGTTGAAATATAGTATTTAGGCTTTTCTATTTTGTCGTGATTCTCAGATACATAGGATGATTACATTTTCTTGACCTGTATTCCAAATCAGTTTTTTTTCATAAGAGATACAATATTGAAATATTTTCCCATTGATGCAAGATGGCAATGGATCATGAAGGACTGCTACCTCAGAAAAATAAAAATTTCAAGTGCTCCAAGGACAATGGAGATATGAATGACATATATAGGCTGTATGTAGGATGTGGAATATTTCTAGTGATGACTTGTATGTGAATATTGACAGCAAGGACATGTATGGTCAAAAAAGAGCCAGTCATGTTAAAAGAACACGAGATAAAAGATGAACAGCCAGAGAGTTACACGGCTATCCATGAAATATAAATGTGTGTCTGGTAACACACATGTATGTGAATATATATATATATATATGCATGTATGTATGTAATCATATATATTAATATTTATATTTATTTACATACATGAACTAGATGAAGACCTTCAGCTTTTTAGATAGATCCTCTATGAAGAATTTATGAAAAGGCATCGACAAGAATCATATTGAATTAAACATGTGGATGGGTTATGATCTACCCAGTAGACAGAATACATCATGGAGTTCAAATCTGACCTTAGTCACTTACTAGTTGTGTGACCCTGAGCAATTCACTTGACTCTTTTTGCCTCAGTTTTCT